GGGCAGAATGACTTCCCTTGACCTGCTGGCCACACTCTTCCCTATACAACCCAAGATACCATTGGCCTTCCTGGCTGCAAGAGCACACTGTTTGCTCATTGTCATTTTACTGTCCACCAGGACCCCTAGATCTTTCTCTTCAGTAGTTGCCTCCAGCAGGTCCACCCCTAACCTGTACTGGTACCTGACATTCTTCTTCCCCAGGTGCAGGACCCTACACTTTTCCCTGTTGAACCTCATGAGGTTCTTCCTTGCCCAGCCCTCCAGCCTGTCCCAAGTCTCGCTGGATGGCAGCACAGCCCTCGGGGGTGTCAGCCACCCCTCCCAGCTTGGTATCATCAGCGAACTTGCTGAGGATACACTCTGTCCCCTCATCCAGGTCACTGATGAATATATTGAACAGCACGGGTCCAAGTATTGACCCCTGGGGGACACCACTGGTTACAGGCTTCCAACTTCCAACTTGAACCTGCTCCATTAATCATTACCCTTTGAGTCCTGTCGCACAGCCAGTTCTCAATCCACCTCACTGTCCCCTCATCCAAGAAGAAGACACCACGGCCATGGCCAACTCCTCCAAGCCCCCGCAGCCTCCAGAGGCTGGAATCACAAGCAACAAGAAAACCTGAACCCACCAAATTAAACAACTATTAACGGAAAATTAAATGGATTATGCCACCATGAGATGCTCACATACCATGTCAGGGGTGTGCTCTGGGAAAAGGCTGAACCAGAGGCTGCTAAAATGCAAAAATGAAGGAAAAGAGCAAGGAGAAAAAGCTCGGGCTTAAAATGTTCAGGAAAAAGAGAGAATAGAGTTGATACACCGGTTGAGCAGAGAATAGAGAGTGACAGCGTTGAACACTGGCCTGTAAATATTTACATCTTGTAAATATTACCTTCTGACTGGACATAAGGCAGGGGTTGAAGGTGGGAATTTGATTCACTCAACACAGTAAACACGAGCGAGTGAGGTTTCTCCTGCCCATCTCCAACGTGTTCAGAGAAGCAGGAGGTCAGAGCAATGCTGTAAGCACAAATCCAGGCCATCGTAGGGTTCAGTGGCTTCACACGTAGCCCTGTGCTTCATCACACCACATCACTGCACAGCAAATCTTAGATAGGAATTTTCTTCTTTATTGTCCTCTACATCTCTTTTTAGAGGAACCTGGACTGTTGAGTTTGGGCATTGCTGCGTGCAAGAGGGCACGTTCTAGAAAGTGAATTAATAGCACAGTGTGGGAATTTTCTTCTTTATTGTCCTCTACATCTCTTTTTAGAGGAACCTGGACTGTTGAGTTTGGGCATTGCTGCGTGCAAGAGGGCACGTTCTAGAAAGTGAATTAATAGCACAGTGAGAGGGACATCATGCAGACGTGGAGGATGAGGAGGAGGGAACCAGAGTCTTTTCATAGAATCATAGAATAGCCCTGTGCTTCATCACACCACATCACTGTGCAGCAAAGCTTAGATGGGAATTTTCTTCTTTATTGTCCTCTACATCTCTTTTTAGAGGAACCTGGACTGTTGAGTTTGTGCATTGCTGCGTGCAAGAGGGCACGTTCTAGAAAGTGAATTAAGAGTTAGCACAGCAAGAGGGACATCATGCAGACGTGGAGGATGAGGAGGAGGGAACCAGACTCTTTTCAGTAGTTTTTTCACTGGTGAGGCCACAACTGGAATCCTGCATCCAGTTCTGGGCTCCCCAGTTCAAGAGGGACAGGGAACTACTAGAAAGAGTCCAGCAAAGGGCAACAAAGATGATTCAAGGATTGGAGCATCTCCCTTATGAGGAGAGACTCCCTTATGAGGAGACCCTAAAGAGCTGGGACTCTTTAGTCTGGAAAAGAGAAGGCTGAGGGGAGACCTTATCAATGCTGACAAGTATCTCAAGGGAGGGCTGAAGGAGGAGGGAGCCAGACTCTTTTCAGTGGTTCCCAGTGAGAGGACGAGGGGCAACGGGCACAAGCTGGAACAGAAGAGGTTCCACTCAAATATGAGGAGAAACTTCTTCACGGTGAGGGTGCCAGAGCCCTGGAACAGGCTGCCCAGGGAGTGTGTGAGTCCCCTTCCTTGGAGATTTTCAAGCCCCACCTGGATGCTCCTGAGTAACATGCTCTGACAAGCTCTAGGCAATCCTGCTTCAGCAGGGGAGTTGGACTAGATGATCTCTATGGTCCCTCCCAACTCTAAAAATTCAGTGAAATTCAGTGATGCAGAATAGAGCTGGACGAGGTCCCTGAGCACAAGAGCCTTGATGAGAACAAGGAAAGCATCAAGGCAGGAAGAGGTGAAGCCTCCCTTCATGGTAAATCAACGATGGGGAAAAGACCCAGTAACAAATGAGCTGTGCCAGCTGACTTGTGTTACAGGTGGAATTACAGCCTGACATTCCTGGGGCACACCTCGAGGTTGCAGACAGTGATTTATGGAGGCTCCTGGCTCTGGGGTGTTACCCGGCCCCATGCTCCGAGTGACACTGATTGCACAGACACTGCTCTCAAACAGGCAGCTCCAGCACGAGCTGCTGCCCAAGGTGGAGAGATGGAAAAGACACCCAGCATGTGAGAAAAAAAACCTATTTAGGCAGTGATAATTGCAAAAAGGCCAAATTAACAGTGTGTGAGCAAGGAGCCAAGAAGAGCAACAGGCACAGAGAACACCAGGAGGCAAAATTGCTGGTGATGCCCAAGTTTTGGGTTGGTTTTATGACCTGAAAAGAAAGTCTGGAATAAAAAACTATCATTCTATTATATGGTGTTTGATGATGCTTTTAAAACAGCAAAACATAGAACTTATCTTTGCGATTTGAACAGCTAATCCAAAATCTATTTTACTGGTGCTTTAAACCTCCGACAAGCCGCTGGGATGAACACCCTCAGCCCCAGACATCAGATGGACCCGAGTGTCCTGCAGCACAGCTGAATCCAGAGCTGAATCCATACGGTCCTGCCACTGCCACACCATCCAGTGAGAGGGGAAAACTGTCACCAGTGCCACGTGGCAGTGAGGAACCAAAGCCACCAGACTGTCTGCCCCTCGAGAGCATCACTGCTCTCCTGGAACGTCAGACCTTCCTCTGTCTGAGGTCAGTTTCCTCTTCAGTTTGCTAAGGTAATGAGGCAATTTAGAAAAATCTGTACATAACAAGCAAGATACAACTTCCAGACACCCCCACACTGAACCAGGGCAGACCCAGCTTCCCCAGGGTAACTTCACAGACCCACCTAATAACATCTGACCTTCCCAGCTCAGCAAATGCTACAGGGAGTTGGGAAAGGGCAACTGCGGGTACTTTACTCACTCATTTAAAAATGAAAACAAATATATCAAGGTGACACAATTGTCTGTGGCCCACTGCCCGCTCGTAGTGCCTTCTGGAAGCAGGAGAACAGCACCTTTGTGCTTGCTTTTCTGCAGTTCCCTCCCATGGCAGGTTATCTCTCGGGCTGATGTTTTATTTCTGGAGACTTAAGCAGCGTTTTGCTAAAAAATCTTATTCTTCCACGATGCTGCATGCTTCAAAGAGCATGTTTTTACAAGCAGTTCCCTTTACGCTCAAAAATCTTGCTGAAAAAGAGGTTAATGCAGACTGAAAATCGTTGTGACATTACAGACCTTTTAATTGGTTACTAGACCTGCTTTGGGGCACACATTAATAGGGCAGGAGCGCTACACGAGCTCCTTCTCCCTCTCCTTGACAAACTGCCAGAGGAAGGAAAGTATTTTGGGCTACAAAAGTACTACACAATCCATTAAAAAAATCTGAAACTCATAATATAAATCAATGCATAACCAGAATGTAATGGCTTGTTCAGAACCAAAAATAATGTATATTGAAAATGAGGTTTTACCATCGCGCTGAGAGTCTCCTCCCAGTCTGGCCGTTCTCTGGGGTGGATGCTCCTCTGCAGCTCTGGCACAAAGTCATCTTCTTCTGCGTGTACAGAGGACTTCATCATTCTGGAAAAGGCAAACAGAGAGGTTTGATGCTCAGTGACAATTTGGGGATAATTGTACACAGAGTCCGTGGTGGTGCTCAGCTACGCGGCTCACATGATGATATAAAATGCTTTTATAAATGCAGAAATCTCACACATTTCTAAATTTCTCTTATTATACAAGCAGGACAAGAGTGTAAATTTGGTGGAGAGATATCTGCACTTCCTGACCAATCCATAGATAATTCTGTTTAATCACTGCACAATTTGCAAGTTTCGAAACACAGAAAAATGCAGAGCAGTGATTTTCAGTCCATCTCAAAAAAAATTGCTCCTATTGCCCAGGCAAACAACATTAGCCCTGTAAGAAGAAAACAAAAGAAGTTTGATTCCTCAGTTGTCACTACATGTTTTGCAGTTTCCATATCTCAGCCTGAATTCCAGTCCCAGGGCTGAGCCATCAGCTCTCTCAGTTCCTACTGATCCTATCGGAAGAGTGAGCTCCTCCAACTGCTCTGGAGCAGTTGGAGCTCCAGCTGCTCTAGAGAAAGATCTGGGGGTCCTGGTGGACAACAAAATGACAATGAGTAAACAGTGTGGTCTTGTGGCCAGGAAGGCCACTGGTATCTTGGGTTGCATAGGGAAGAGCGTGGCCAGCAGGTCAAGGGAGGTCATTCTGCCCCTCTGCTCTGCACTGGGGAGGCCACAACTGGAATCCTGCCTCCAGTTCTGGGCTCCCCAGTTCAAGAGGGACAGGGAACTGCTGGAGAGAGTCCAGCGAAGGGCTACAAAGATGATTCAAGGATTGGAGCATCTCCCTTATGAGGAGAGGCTGAGAGAGCTGGGACTCTTTAGTCTGGAGAAGAGAAGGCTGAGGGGAGACCTTCTCAATGCTGACAAGTATCTCAAGGGCGGGCTGAGGGAGGAGGGAACCAGACTCTTTTCAGTGGTTCCCAGTGAGAGGACGAGGGGCAACGGGCACAAGTTGGAACATAAAGGGATCCACTTGAATATGAGGAAGAACTTCTTCACAGTGAGGGTGATGGAGCCCTGGGACAGGCTGCCCAGGGAGGGTGTGGAGTCCCCTTCTTTGGAGATTTTCAAGCCCCACCTGGATGCTCCTGAGTAACATGCTCTGACAAGCTCTAGGCAATCCTGCTTCAGCAGGGGAGTTGGACTAGATGATCTCTATGGTCCCTTCCAACTCTAAAATTCAGTGAAATTCAGTGAAACCACCCCAGCTCTGCAGGGCTGGCTCAATCACTCTCATTTTATCAAGGTAAACTTTCCTTCAGATAAGGCACCGAGTTTCAAACAACCTATGGAGTATCTTTCAAGCTGCACGGAGATCAGAGGCTCAAAAAAATCAACATTTTCAAAGTATTCATGAAATCTTCTCAGCCTGTCCTCAGCACAGCTCTGCTGTTCCATTGCACTTGCAGGTGGTATAAATGTGCCTTTGCGGGGATTATGGCAGGGAATCAAAGGCCTGTTGAAAGTCTGGTATTATCCATTCTGGTTTCATTAAATAGGAGGTTGAGGCAGGCTTTTATTTGATTAATAGATCACCCTTTATTTACCTTGGGTAACCATTCTGACAACCAGCACCATGTACAGCCAGGCTGGGTTGGTGAAACATTCCCTGCGCTGATTGATGGGCTGTGGGATAACACACACGTGGGGAAAGGCATTGCAGAAAACTCTTTCACTTCTCATCAAGATCTGAGGGGCTGAAAGCTCTACGTGCTCTTTGCCACAACGGCCTAAGAGACCAAAGAACTCATGATTTTGAAAAATATGGCTTTTTTCAGGATTTCTAGTTTGGCAACACCACAGATGTACCAGGGGATTTTAAACAAACTGCTCCAAGGCAGCTTTAGTCCAACACCACGGGGTGATGGAATGAAAGGAAGGGGAACACCATCAAGACCCACATTTCAACACCACAGTTCAAACAGACAGCTTCTCAAAATGCACACCTTCTCAGTCTGAAGACTTGGAAGTAATAATCACAGAATCACAGAATCTTCTAGGTTGGAAGGGACCTTAAAGATCATCTTGTCCAACCGTCAACCTCACTGACAAAAATAGACACCCACACAACAAACAAGGAGCATCATCACTAAACCAGACCTCCCAGCACTACATCAACCCCTCTTTTGAACACCTCCAGGGATGGGGCCTCAACCACCTCCCTGGGCAGCCCATTCCAATGGCTGAGAACCCTTTCAGTGAAAAAAATTTTCCTAATATCCAGCCTGAACCTCCCCTGGGGCAACTTGAGGCCATTTCCTCTCGTCCTGTCGCCTGTGACTTGAGAAAAGAGACCGACCCCCACCTCTCTACACCCTCCTTTCAGGGAGTTGGAGAGAGCAAGAAGGTCTCCCCTCAGCCTCCTCTTCTCCAGGCTGAATAACCCCAGCTCCCTCAGCCTCTCCTCATAAGACTTATTCTCCAGACCCCTCACCATCTTTGTTGCCCTTCTCTGGACCCGCTCCAGCCCCTCAATGTCTTTTTTATGGTAGGGGGCCCAAAACTGGACACAGCACTCCAGGTGAGATCGAATTCACATCTCTATCAGCACTTTGGCCTACAAATGAATTTATTCCGCAGCTTCTCAGGTTTATGGCAGCTCCTCCTGGATTTCTCATCAGAAACCTGGTTTCCTTTTGAGAAGCAAATCTTGTGAATATCTAAAATGTTGCTGGTAACACGGGGCTGCCCAGGGACACCACTCCTCCTGCCATAAGGTAATTAATGACGAGTTTTGACCACATTCTCTTCCAAATCACCAACCCTCACTCACACCAAGCCCCGTTCAGCTTCAATGTATGGCAAGAATTGCTTCCTAGAAAGCACAGAACCTACACCCAGGAGAGGGCAGAGATCCCTAATGAAGATGATAAAATAAATATATACAAACACACTCTATGTGTTACACAAACTCCGTGCTTTGCCTGGTTACAGGCAACTTTATCCCAAGTTAATCCCAGTAATATTCTATTGCTGATGGAAATTAAATACTCCATCACAGTACCACAAAAATATTGGAAACCCTACTGAAGATTTTCTATTATAAACACTTGATAACCACCTGGGAAGCCTTATTAATCTTTAAGAGTAACTATTTCATTCCATACCATCTGAGACAAGAGACCAAGATGCTTCAGGTGTTATTAGTCCTTTATATACTAAGGCGAGTGGCTTTGTCCTCTCCATCCCTGATCTGGATGAAGGAAAATAACTTTTCCACTGGAACATGGGCAGGAGCAGGGTCAGAAAGGAGGAAGGAGAGGAAGAAGAGCAGCCACTCAAGACATCACCCTTTTTATTCTGTTTCACCAGATGTTACAAGATCTCTATGTTCTCATAGGTAATTAATGACGAGTTTTGACCACATTCTCTTCCAAATCACCAACCCTCACTCACACCAAGCCCCGTTCAGCTTCAATGTATGGCAAGAATTGCTTCCTAGAAAGCACAGAACCTACACCCAGGAGAGGGCAGAGATCCCTAATGAAGATGATAAAATAAATATATACAAACACACTCTATGTGTTACACAAACTCCGTGCTTTGCCTGGTTACAGGCAACTTTATCCCAAGTTAACCCCAATAATATTCTATTGCTGATGGAAATTAAATACTCCATCACAGTACCACAAAAATATTGGAAACCCTACTGAAGATTTTCTATTATAAACACTTGATAACCACCTGGGAAGCCTTATTAATCTTTAAGAGTAACTATTGAGTTCCATGCCATCTGAGACAAGAGACCAAGATGCTTCAGGTGTTATTAGTCCTTTATATACTAAGGCGAGTGGCTTTGTCCTCTCCATCCCTGATCTGGATGAAGGAAAATAACTTTTGTGTGTGAGCAGCACTGGAACATGGGCAGGAGCAGGGCCAGAGAGGGGGAAGGAGAGGAAGAAAAGCAGCTACTCGAGACATCACCCTTTTTTTTAACCCTGTTTCACCAGATGTTCTCAAGGAGGACACAGAGAATGAAACATCAGGTGCACATCCACCTGCAACACCATTTCTAAGCATTATTTCTGCATCTTCTAGACTTCCTACAGGAATTCAGCCACTCGTTTTCATACCTGCAGTCCTGTAGTTCCTCTGGAGCCCCATCAGAAGCCCCCAAAATGAGAAAGCGATGACAGTGGAACTGGGAAAGAGCCAGGCTGGCTGCAGTCACTGGGAGGATCTTCATCCTCAGGGCATGGAAAATCCCAGAGCCACCCAGCAGTCAGACACTCTGATTTTTCCTGGCCTCACCCCAAGGGAAGCTTGGAATATTGTAGGTATAACATTTTTATATGCATGTGTATTATGCATATTTGACATTATTTTAATTCATAGAGCAAACAAACAGCACAACAGCCATATGTCTGATTCACCACACGTGTCAAGCTGGAACAAGACTAATTATCTTGTTTCTGCCACGGATTCTTCGTCACAGGAGGGGAAAATACCTACAGCCCCACTAGCACTTATATAAAACACTGAGACATACATTCTGTAAACATTAAAGGCCAAACAAATCAAAGAAGCTGCTCTGTTCTGTAAAGCCTGCATTTGGCTATTTCATGGGAGTTGTAAATGACTGAAAATTCGCTACAAAATTTAATACTAGCCATCAGAACAGAAATATAATTTTATTTAAAATGCCACTTCCTTCAACCGCTCAGCAGCTCCGAATGCCCTTCAAATAAAATCTGACACCATTATATTAATAAAAGTTCTGGCTGCATGGGCATTTTTTTAATAATAGAATGGTCCCGGCCAGAAGGGACCTCCAAAGATCATCTAGTCCAACCTCCCTGCAGCCAGCAGGGATACCCCCCTAGACCAGGGTGACCAGGGCGTCCTCGAGCCTCTCCTTGAATATCTCCAGGGAAGGGGCCTCAACCACCTCCCTGGGCAACCTGTTCCAGTGCTCCACCACCCTCCCAGTGAAGAACCCTCTCCTCATCTCCAGTCTAAAGCTGTTCCCCTCCAGCTTGAAGCCATTGC